AAGCACATGTACCTGCTCCGGGGATGATCTTAAATCTGAAGTACATGCATTGGGGCTGATCTGAGGTCTGAAGTGCATGCATTGGGACTTATCTGAGATCTGAAGTACTTGCATTGAGGTTGATCTGAGATCCGAAGGGCAAGCATTGGGGCTGATCTCAGGTCTGAAGTGCATGCATTGGGGGCTGATCTGAGGTCTGAAGTGCATGCATTGGGGCTGATCTGAGAGAAGTCTGAAGTGCATTCATTGGGGGTTGATCTGAGGTCTGAAGGGCAAGCATTGGGGCTGATCTCAGGTCTGAAGTGCATGCATTGGGGCTGATCTGATCTGAAGTGCATTCATTGGGGCTGCTGTGAGGTCAAGTGCATGGATTGGGGCTGCTCTGAGGTCTGAAGTGCATGCATTGGGGCTGATCTGAGGTCTGAAGTGCATTCATTGGGGCTGCCCTGAGGTCTGAAGTGCATTGAGCCTTAACCCGAGATCCGAAGTGCATGTACTGGACTGATCTGAGATCAGAAGTGCATGCATTGGGGCTGCTCTGAGGTCTGAAGTGCATGCATTGAGCCTGATCTGAGATCTGAAGTGCATACATTGAGCCTGATCTGAGATCAGAAGTGCATGCATTGGGGCTGCTCTGAGGTCTGAAGTGCATGCATTGAGCCTGATCTGAGATCTGAAGTGCATACATTGAGCCTGATCTGAGATCTGAAGTGCATGCATGCATCTGAAGTGCATGCATTGGGGCTGATCTGAGATCTGAAGTGCATGCATTGAGCCTAATCCGAGATCCAAAGTGCATGTACTGGGACTGATCTGAGATCTAAAGTGCATGCACTGCGACTGAACACGTTTTATATGTACACCATTTAATCAATTTTGTGGTCAGAGTTGTACTGCTAACACAAGTAAAACTCATTAATTATTGTATAACTTGTCATGGCAGTACAACTATGAGTGCAAAAACTGAAAACAACTGCTCAGTTTCCAGCTGGTTTTCTATTGCTTGTGAAAATCACACTAGACTTACATGGTTTGACTCTCATTAGAACATTCGTACAAAATTTAGAAAAAACCTTTAGCCAACATTCGATGATGTCCTCACTGAGTCAACAAGTTTTGTTTGAAAGCCCTTAAAAAGTTCCTCTAAACTTGCAACATGAATGAATTCCCAGGCGTGTCAAACAGGTGTATTCTTTTATTGCTTAAAAATCAACAAAACAATAATGCAAAGCAAAGTTTTTTTTAACCTTTTACCATCCATGTGACACATACAGTATGTGTAGTTGTACAGAGGGTGAGCTTTAACGCCCATGCACCACATACAGTTGTGTTCAAAATAATAGCAGTGTGTTGAAAAAAGTGAATAAAGCTCAAAATCCTTCTAATAGCTTTTATTTCCATACACACAAATGCATTGGGAACACTACACATTCTATTCCAAATCAAAACATGAAGAAAAATAGATCAAATTTGTGTTGTTCCTCTAAAGAAATTGAAGAAAAGTGAATATTAGACTGTTCAAAAAAATAGCAGTGTTTGTATTCTTCTTTACAAACTCAAACATTCACTATATAAACTGAAAAATGTTTGAAGATTTTGCTTTCCTTTGAATCACTTAATGAATATTTCGTTGTAGTCGCACTGTTTCTGAGAACTGCTGTACATCTGTGTTGAATGGAGTCACCCAACTTCTGGCCCTGTGAACAGGTATTCCAGCCCAGGATGATTGAACTACATTCCACAGTTCTTCTCTATTTCTTGGTTTTGCCTCAGAAACTGCATTTTTGATGTCACCCCACAAGTTTTCTATTGGATTAAGATCCGGGGATTGGGTTGGCCACTCCATAACTACAATCTTGTTGGTCTGGAACCAAGATGTTGCACGTTTACTGGTGTGTTTGGTTTCGTTGTCTTGTTGGAACACCCATTTCAAGGGCATTTCCTCTTCAGCATAAGGCAGCATGACCTCTTCAAGTATTCTGATGTATTCAAACTGATCCATGATCCCTGGTATGTGATAAATAGGCCCAACACCGTAGTATGAGAAACATCCCCATATCATGATGCTTGCACCACCATGCTTCACTGTCTTCACAGTGTACTGTGGCTTGAATTCAGTGTTTGGGGGTCGTCTGACAAACTGTCTCCGGCCACTAGACCCAAAAATAACAATCTTACTTTCATCAGTCCACAAAATGTTGCGCCATTTCTCTTTAGGCCAGTCAATGTGCTCTTTGGCAAATTGTAGCCTCTTCAGCACATGTCTTTTTTTCAACAGTGGGACTTTGCGGGGGCTTCTTGCAGATAGCTTGGCTTCACATAGGCGTCTTCTAATTGTAACAGTACTCACAGGGAACTTTAGACCTGACTGCTATTATTTTGAACACAACTGTATATGTGTCCATGAGCGGCAGAGCTTTCTACATTGAGAGCGTGCTCACTGCAGGCTTCCAGAATAGTGACCAAGTTATCAAAAATGGCTTTTGATCTTTACTAATGATCTTGAGCCAGTGAGACCGTCTTTGGTCATGTGACAACTCTTACAGCCAATCACAATAGTCTTGGGATCAGTTGAACTTTCCAGCACCTGCGTGTACATACCCTGTTGAAGGGACACCAGTGCTGGGTGGGAAAGTAATACATTTATAGGTTTCTTGCATATTTAGAAGTATATTCATATATGCAACTTCATTAGCCCATGAGGCTGTAGTGGATATTCTCTCTCTCTCTCTCTCTCTTTTATATATAAAGAGAGAGGGTGAGTGGTAGAAGGACCAGTCATTCCTGAGACCATTGTAATTGGTTGTTACAGTGGTCCCATGGTCGGGAGCCAGTCTTTTCAGTTCCCAATCATAGATAGATAGATGATAGATAGATAGATAGATAGATAGATAGATAGATAGATAGATAGATAGATAGATAGATAGAAAGATGATAGATACTGGAATCAACTTAAAATGGTTGTAAACCTCAGACATGAAATATGAACAAAGCATATCCCTCTATAGCGTGTACTTGTCTCAATTAAGAGCACTAAGTGTCATTTCTGTCTATTGCTTCATTCCTCTACTATCAGCATGAGTCACTTCTGAAAAGTTTTCATGACATCAAGAGAAAACTGATGACAGAGGATTGCCCTCCAGCAGATTGGCAGCCTCTGTTTCTGTGTGCTATGTGAAGGGGGGGGGGGGTGTGTCTCTTCCCTTCAATCAGCTGTCAGAGCTCTCCTCACTAATCTCTGCAGAGTGTAACTTCAGCTCTCTGCCTCCTTTTTTCCAAACTCTTAGACAAGCTTTATAAATTCAGCACCTTGAGCGAATGTAGAGAAGATATGACAGCAGATAAACAGGTGCAACTTATGTAGGAAAATGTGTTTCTTCTCTGTGTATCACCTGGGACCAGTTGCTTCACTAGGTATATGTAAGGGTTTACAACCACTTTAACCAGTTCAACTCTTTGGACGTACTACATACTTCCAAAGAGTGAACCTGCAATCACAAGCTGATGGCTGCAGTAGCAGCCATCAGCTTGTGCAAGTTTTGTTTAGCTGGCTCCCGGCTGGAAAGTGCTGCAGCAGCTCCATAGCTGCCGATGACTTTCAGAGCCAGCAGTGCGAGTTGCCCCTCCCTTGCTCCTCCCATGTTTCCCAGGCCTTCACCCTCTTACCACAGCCTGGGAACCTGACCGCTGGCTAGAGGAGGGAGAGCACCGTGAGACCACATGCAAACAATCAAAACATACAATGTCACTTCCCGTTTCAGATGCACCCTTTCCTGGCCAGTATAGAGGACACATCTAACCAATCCGATCTGTGCTTGGCGAGATGGTGTGAAGGGCAAGGGAAGACATTGGGGTCTATTAGACCCCTAATGTCTCCATAAAGAGTAGCTGTCACCTGCCCCATGCTATCACATCGGGGTTTATTAACCCCTTGTGATAGTAATCAAGTAAAAATAAAGAAAAACATTTAAGAAAAAAGTTTTAAAACATAAAAGTATAATAAAATAGTAAAATTTAAAAAAATTGCCATAACTCTCATTGTCCTGCACACCTGCGCCAATTGAAAAGCAAACGCAAGCCCAGGGTGTGTACGCACATGGAAACCGCAGTTGCACCACACATATCGCACAAGAGCTCCCAGCTAACTCTAAGCTGATGAACTGTAAAGGCTTTTAAAGCGTCACCTATGGTGATTTTTGGGCACCATTGTTTTTGGCGATATGGCACACACAAATTTTAAGACATGGAATGTTTGGTATTTATTTACCGTATTTTCGGCGTATAAGACGACTTTTTAACCCTTGAAAATCTTCTCAAAAGTCGGGGGTCGTCTTATATGCTGGTATACGGCATACTGACACTTGGTGTCAGGGCGGCACTTTTTAGGGGGCCGCACGGTGCCGCCGCCGCCACCCCCCCTTTCCAACGGAAGGGACACTAAGTACAGGGGCGGGGCAGGGGGCTGCTGTTTCTTACCTGGCTCCGGTCCCAGTCCCACGACGATCCAGTCCAGGAAGCGCGGCTGCTCCTTCATTCAGTTCGGCCACTGGATGTTCGCGCAGCCGCTCGGCTCCGCCTCCTCACCGGTGATTGGCTGCCAGAACTGTAGCTCAGGAAAGGCACACAGGCGGCCAATCACCGGCGAGGAGGCGGAGCCAAGCAGCCCCCGTGAAAATCGCAGTGAGGGCCAGGTGCTCCCAGCGGCCAGCCAGCTAAGTGTGCCGTGCAGAGGTGCTGCTGCAGCCACACATGCTGGCTGCAGCAGCACCATACTGGAACCCGGACAGGGGTCAGCAAGTGTAATTGGTGTCAGTGGGAGGAATAGTGCCCTTGCTTGTATATACATCATTGGTGTCACTGATATTAATGATGGGGCATTAAATTATTTGTTTATAACCTCCCACTGACACCAACGATGGGGCACTATTCCTCCCCCCCCACTGAAACCAACGATGGGGCACTATTCCACTCCCCCCCCCCCCCCCCACTGACAACAACGGGGGGCACTATTCCTCCCCCCCCACTGACACCAACGATGGGGCACTATTCCACCCCCCCCCCTGACCCACTGGGGCACTACACCCCCCCCCCACTGACACCAACGATGGGGCACTATTCCACCCCCCACTGACACCAATGATGGAACACTATTCCTTCCCCCACTGACACCAATGATGGGGTACTATTCCTCCCACTGACACCAATGTTGGGGCACTATTCCTCCCACTGACACCAATGACGGGGCACGATTCCTCCCACTGACACCAAAGATGGGGCACTATTCCTCCTACTGATACTAATGATGGGGCACTATTCCTCCCACTGATACCAATGATGGGGCACTATTCCTCCCACTGACACCAATGATGGGGCACTATTCCTGCCACTGATACTAATGATGGGGCACTATTCCTCCCACTGATACCAATGATGGGGCACTATTCCTGCCACTGATACCAATAATGGGGCATGATTCCTCCCACTGACACCAATGATGGGGCGCTATTCCTCCCACTGACACCAATGATGGGCTGCTATTCCTCCCACTGACACCAATGATGGGGTGCTATTCCTCTCACTGACACCAATGACTGGGCACGATTCATCGCTCTGACACCAATGATGGGGCACTATTCCTCCCACTGACACCAATGATGGGGCACGATTCTTCCCACTGACACCAATGATGGGGCACTATTTCTCCCACTGACACCAATGATGGGGCACTATTTCTCCCACTGACACCAATGATGGAGTACTATTCTCCCACTGACACTAATGATGGGACACTATTCCTCACACACTGACACTAATGAGGGGGCACCATCATTGGTGTCAGTGGGAGGAAGTGTCCCATCATTGGTGTCAGAGCGAGGAATCGTGCCCCATCATTGGTGTCAGTGGGAGGAATAGCACCCCCCATCATTGGAATACCATACCATACTGAAATCAAATCTGATGTTTTTTAATTTTTATTTGGTGTGCATTGGAAGAGGGGTAGTCTTATACGGCGAGTATAGCCCAAACACTATATTTTAGCCGGAAAATACGGTGCTCAATGCAACCTCATCTTTTATATTTTAACCAAAATGGGTATTGTGTGTTCTTGCACTAAAATTCATTTTTGCTTCTGTTTCCTGAAAATGTGCATTTATTAAACATTTGGGCAAATGTCATGTGACATCAGTATCACCTTTTTATTCTACAGGACCTCTGCTTTCAGAAATTATGTAATGTTCTGAGGTTTAATTCATTTTATTACCAAAAATTAAGATTTTTACATGTATGCAAAAAAAAAAACAAAAATCGCTTTGGTGCCGAACTGGGTGATAATACAACTTCACATACACTTTACAAAAAGCATGTTATTGTTCTTTCATACTTTTCTATACCATATATAATTGTTTAAAAGAACAAATGTTCACATCCAGGAAAGTTCTAATTCTTCATGAAACTTTTCCTAGCACATATGAATTATAATGGCTCTTAGATTGTAAGCTCCAAGGATCAGGGCCCTCCTATCCCTCTTGTATTGAACTGTATTGTTGCTGTATTGTCTCCCATTATATTGTAAAGTGCTGAGCAAACTGTTGGCACTACATAAATCCTGTATAATAATAACGACTATGATTTTTCATTTAATTTGACCAAAAAAATTTGAATTTTTGATGACGAGAAAACAATTTTCAATAAATAATTGTTTAAAAGAATAAATGTTCACTTCCACGAAAGTTCTAATTCTGAATGAAACTTTTCCTAGCTTATATGGATTATAATGACTACGATTTTTTATTTAATTTGACAAAAAAGAGAATTTTTGATGATGAGAAAACAATTTTCCTTTACCTTCAATTTTCTTTAATACTACGACCAAAAATGATCATTGATTTGTCTCCATTAACCATTAGAAAATCGAAAGCATGCTTTGAAAATGAACATTTTTTTTTTTTTTTTAAAACAAAATTCTAACCGTGTATGACCAGCTTTAATGTGGAATAGGTTGCTGACCCTTGCAGGCAATTAAAGCAGCAGTAAATAGTATCTAGGCAACACGGTGAAAGCAGCAGCATGACAGATCATAGAGCAGAACTATGGTTTAGTAAATAGGAAATGCAGAAGCAAGTCTGCTGGCAGTCATAGAAGTGCCAACCTGCCTGTTTTCAGTGATTGCTGAGCACCGAAGTCCAGCATGAATGTTGATACCTTACAGCACACTGATTCCTGCTATGCATACACAGTAAACACCAGGGGCGGACTGACAACTCATGGGGCCCCCGGGCAATAAGGGATCATGGGGCCCCCGTGTCCTCGCCCACACTCAAAAAAGCCTATGAAAACGCCAATAAAAGGTACCAGGGGCATCTCATGGGGCCCCCTACTAGTGCCCGAGTGCTCGAATGGTCAGTCCACCCCTGGTAAACACAAATTCCTTTGATTTAAATCAGGCAGAGATTGTTTACCTGCAAATAACAACAAAGGGCCAGAAGAGAACTAGGGAAATGAGGAAATAGAATTTCCCCCTAAAACTTGCTTAGCTTATGTATATATTGCTGACCATCAGATTTATAGTGCTATATTTTTTTTTACATAACTCGGACAACCCCTTTAAGGTTTTTTGGCATTTTATATCTTAAATGCACTTATTTGAATTAATTAATAGTAATTTGGACTTTAAATTTGGTTAAAAACCCATAATATAAACAAAATACCAAAAATTTAAAAAATTTGATAAATTTGAAGACAATTTAGCATTTTGTGGCAAATCATGACGTCTAGGACTTTTTTCAATATTTTATTTGTTTTCAGCACACCAAAATACATGGAAATTAGATGAAAATAATCAAACAGCTTTTTAGTCGCAGACCTGTGTTTTCAATGCTAAGTCCTCATGCACACGGGATGTTTTTACAGCGGCTGTTTTTGGCTTTTAGCGTTTTTTTCTACAGTCAGTAAACTCCCCAGCATGTTATCCTATGTGTCCATGCACACATAGGTTTTAATCAGCGTATTTTGGCATGGGGAATTTTTTGGCTGGTAAAAAAAAAATCCAAAACTGGTGGGTTTCTAGAGGAGTTTTTTAGCTGTAAAAATACTCTAACTCTGTAAAAGGCGGCAAACCGGCGTTTTGGGGCTTTTTTATATTTTGTTTGTGTAAAAAAAAAACAATAAAAGACACAAACGTGAAAAAACACGGCTAGTTGCTAATGCAAAAACACTGAAAAAATGCTGAAAAATCCAGAAAAAACACAGCTAACGCTATCAGCGTTGTTAAAACACCCAGTGTGCATGGAGCCTGACTCTTTCAACCTGATCTCCCATTGCCAGCAGCCATATCACATCCCAATCAGTAAGCTACTGTCACAAACTCCTGGTTAGTAGCTTATCAGGTGCACATCTGGTTCATTATCACCCTATTTAAACCCTAAGTTTAGTTAAAAATAGTTTAAAAAAATTAAAAAATAGTTTTTTGCCTTCCTCTGGATTAACTGTGGCTGTAGGATTATAACTTTTTTTTTTCTATGGTTGACCTGGATGAGCTTTTGTCTTTTTTCAGCCAGACTAACTATGTAACTATATATAACACAAAGGATGGTACTTATATTCAGTGGGAAGTGTCCCTTGTGCTGTTGGCTGCTCGCCCCCCCCCCCCCCCCCCCCCCGTGCCCCTGTGGCCATAATCTTTTGGTGCTGCTGGGGTTGATACAATGGAGCTGAGCCTGTCACAGGGACTCATCAAGAGTGCTGACTATACCTATCCATTCTGTACCCCTAATCTATTCATAGAAGCTGTACTGTAGCTTCCATGAATGAAAAGCACTCTATGAATGGAGGAGGACCTTTCATTCATCCATCTGTCTTCCATCGCTAGAGTGATTTTCATTGCTGGAAGCTATAGTGCAGGCTGTATGAATGGAGGAGGGGTCGGAATGAGCGGGCATAGTCAGCACTCTTGATGAGTGCCTATGGCAGGTCCAGCCGATTGTATTAACCCCTGCAGCACCTGAAAATTACAGCTGCTGGGGGGTGGAGGGGGCTTCTGATTTTTCAGATTTCAAATAAAGGGGCAGCCAGCAGCACAAAGAGACACGTCTCATTGATTGTAAGCCCTCATGCACACGGGACGTTTTTACAGCGGATGTTTTTTGGCTTTTGACGTTTTTTTCTACAGCCAGTAAACCCCCCAGCATGTTATCCTATGTGTCCATGCACACATAGACTGGAATCAGTTTTTTGGCTGGGACGTTTTTTGGCTGGAAAAAACCCAGAACTAGTGGGCTTCTAGAGGATTTTTTTTTAGCTGTAAAAAACGTTCTAACGCTGAAAAATGCGGTAAAAAATGCCACAAACCAGCTTTTTTAGACTTTTTTGTCCAAAAAATGCTAAAAAACGCAAACGCAGGAAAATGCCACTAAACACGGCAAAACAACGCTAAACGCTAATGCGAAAACGCGAAAAAAAGCTGAAAAATTTATGTTTTTAACGTGACTTTACACAGCTAACGTTACCAGCGTTATCAGAATGTTCCGTGTGCATGAGGACTAAGTTCTGTCCCTTGTGCTGACTCTTTTAAAAATGTATCTAAACGTAGGCTTGCAGACTGAATATACTATTAAAAGGGGTGAGACGGAGCTGCTACCTTCTTAATCATCCTCAGCTTCTGGCTTATAAGGTCTCTGGCAACCTTCAATCTTCAGTTAATGTAAGGAAAAGCTGGTGTCACAGTAAATCGGCTACAATCAATGCTCTTTATTAATTTTTGTGTGATACAGTCATGCAGAAAGTCAAAGCATTTCGATTTAGGCCTGATGGTCGAAACACGTTGGATTTCTGCATGACTATATCACATGAATATTAATAAAGAGCATTGATTGTAGTCGATTTACTGGGCACCAGCTTTTCCTTCCTTTACCTGGATAAGCTATTCTTTGATCTTCTTTATTTTAAAATTGGTAACAATGTAAACATGAGTTAGGAGCTCATAGCTATTATTTTACAATGTTGAGCTCAGAAAAGTAAAAAAAGTTCATTATTGCTGCTCATATATTAATGTCATTTTTTTAACTACTTCAAGTCCAGACACTTTCACCCCCTTCCTGTCCAGGCCAATTTTCAGCTTTCAGTGCTATCACACTTTGAATGACAACTGCGCGGTCATGCAACACTGTACCCATATGAATTTTTTAGCATTTTTTTTAGACAAATAAACCTTTATTTTGGTGGTATTTATTCACCACTGGGATTTTTTTTTTTTTGCCATATAAATGAAAAAAGTCCAAAACATTTTTAAAAAAGTGTTTGTTCTTTTACAATTTTGAAAATAAAT